CTACGTGTTCTTAGCCTGCCCGCCCGTGAGGGTCGTGACGAGGCCGCCGTGTCGTGCGTGTGTGTGCGCGCGCGCGCGTGCGTGCAGCAGTGGCTCTCTGCAACGACGCTGCGAGCACGCGTCCCGATACAGCGGTACTTGCTGTACCAATATTCCCGCCCGTGAACCAGAAACAATGTTTCGCACCTGCATTCGCTATTTTGCTTCTAGAAAAAATACAGTTTGCACCCATGGCCTTTTCTGTGCTGTTGGACACGAGAAGCTCCGAAAAGATGCTGCTCGTGAAAATTGTTGTGCCTTCAAAAATGGCGTCAACTCTCTGCGTTGGAGAGAGACATGGTCTCCCGAGTCACACAAAATCCCCCGCAACATGACTTCAGCGCTGCACCCTCCCCTTCCATACGCGCCTTTCTCGCTTCAGTGANTATGATCTCCCGAGTCACACAAAGTCCCCCGCAACATGACTTCAGCGCTGCACCCTCCCCTTCCATACGCGCCTTTCTCGCTTCAGTGACGACGTGTGCTGTGCATGTGTGTAAATGTTGCGCACGAAATATTGTAACCTACGGAGTTATCACATTTGTAAAATACTTTTATGAAGTTTTTTTGCATCGTTTGTCTTTGCAAGTGGTTTTCCAGCGAAGGACAAGAACTGTAGTATGTAGTACATTGTTTCTGATCTAATTGTCACGCATTCACTTCTTCCACTTTACTCTCATGACCGCAGCACTACACAACCGTCCAGAGAGGTCTAGAGAAGAGGAGCCATCGCTTGGAGGAAAGGGGAAACGACGTGCCGCGGCTGCTGCTGGGTTGGGTGGTAGCGCGGGGAAACGGGCTACACCTGGTCCTGGCAGCAGCGCGGGCGGCAACACGGGCAGCACCCCCGGCGGCAGCGCGGGAGGCAGCAAGGGCGGCGGCAAAGCCGGCAGCGCAGGTGGCAGCGCCGGCGGCAGCGCGGGAGGCAGCGCGGGAGGCAGCAAGGGCGGCAGCAAGGGCGGCAAAGCGAAGCCCGGATCAGACCACGGCAAGAACAAGCATACAGTCGGCAAGCGATGGAAAATCGTTGAAGGAGCAAGGTTGCGGCAGACTACAATGTGGGCAAGGCATACGTCAGCANAGCCGGCAGCGCAGGTGGCAGCGCCGGCGGCAGCGCGGGAGGCAGCGCGGGAGGCAGCAAGGGCGGCAGCAAGGGCGGCAAAGCGAAGCCCGGATCAGACCACGGCAAGAACAAGCATACAGTCGGCAAGCGATGGAAAATCGTTGAAGGAGCAAGGTTGCGGCAGACTACAATGTGGGCAAGGCATACGTCAGCAAGCTGATGAAAACCCCCATGATCGCCGCGCTTGAGAAAGCCCGTGACATGGAGCTCAACATGGGCGCCAAACGCACACCAACGCCGGTACACGCGGAGTTGGAGGCTCGTTTGAACCAGTGGATCAAGATTGCACGACAACGATTTGAGGTAGGGACCCCACGTCATTCGGTCATTTTTCTTTTTTACATCTCTGGCCGCCTCGTTTCCTGTCTGTTACACAGCAGTAGCCGACGTTGTTTTGTTGTGCTACAACCTGTTGCAGCAGGTAGGATGACAAGTTGAGAGCCACCTGAACGCTTACATGGATTCCAAACAACCGCCAACATCGCTCGAATATCCACTTCTGCTGCTGCTGCCTCACGATCATGCAGACAACCAAGCTCGGGTTGAGCGGTATCATGATCCAGACCCAGGCCACGAAGTTCGCGGCGGAGATGAACGTGACCAACTTCACCGCGAGCAACGGCTGGCTACATCGCTTTCTTTCTCGCTACGGCCTCGTGCACATCAACCTGCACCGGGAAGCTGGTGAAGTGAACAAGGCTGCGGCTGAGAAGGAAATCGCGCAGATTCGGGAGCAGCTTGAGGGCTTTGAAGACGAGTTGATCTTCAATATGGACGAGACGGGCCTTTTCCACCGCTGTTTCCCGAGGGGAACGTATGTCACGAGGTCAGAGGGCGCAGCGGGACTCAACCAGAAGACCGCGCGGGGATCGAAGGCCATGAAGGCCAAGGATCGGTGCACTGTTGTCGCCTGCTGCAACACCACTGGGTCGCTCAAGGTGCCGCTGGCCGTCATCCACACGGCGAAAGACCCCATGGTTTTCCGCCACGTCCGCAAGCCAGCTTGCCCCTACTACGCCCGGAAGAGTGCCTGGCTGGACTCTGCACTCTGCCAGCGGTGGTTCGACGAAGTCTTCGTCCCCTTCGTCAAGAAGACGACTGGGAAGAAGGTGGCTCTCTTGTGGGACAACTGCCCAGGCCACCGCATCAAGAACGACGACCCGCAAATCGTTCATCATCTTTCTGCCCCCCAACGTCACGCCCGTCTTTCAGCCTATGAACATGGGGATCCTGTTTGCTCTCAAGTGTCAGTACAAGACGGACATGGTGATGAGGTTGGCGACCCTCATCGAGGACTGGGATACAGCGCGTGCGCGCAAAATCCGAAGGTAAGACTGTGTTGGGGGGGCGGCGAAGGTAGTGATTCGGTCTTGTGGCTGCGGGTTCAGTTGTGTTGGTGCTGGTCAGGCGAGTGCTGTTCGACAACAGTTGGTGCAGGCATGTACCGGATTACTACTGNATGGTGATGAGGTTGGCGACCCTCATCGAGGACTGGGATACAGCGCGTGCGCGCAAAATCCGAAGGTAAGACTGTGTTGGGGGGGCGGCGAAGGTAGTGATTCGGTCTTGTGGCTGCGGGTTCAGTTGTGTTGGTGCTGGTCAGGCGAGTGCTGTTCGACAACAGTTGGTGCAGGCATGTACCGGATTACTACTGAAGGCGAGTGCCATTCAACAGCAGTCAACAGCACTAGTGCTGCCTCAAAAAGGTCTCCGATCA